AAGACAAAAGGTGGGTGGGAGTGGGTGGAAAATGTCACCAAATGGCGGAAAATGGGGGGAGAGGGAGGGGGTTGTGGCGGGCTATTGGGTTCAACAGCAGTTCAGCAGTTGGCCATGGTTAAGTGCTGGAAATTATGTTATGCTCGTCGGCCATTGTTTTATGTCTCCATTCGAGGATTATTGGTCATGCATGAGGGGTCACCACCCACTCAACCTTCACCCCAAACATTCCCGCCTCTTCCAACCCCCTTCACTCACTGATTAACTCAATAAATAAACAATTTCCACAGTAAGGAAGAATTTCTGGACATTGTTTGGCCAACAATTGAATTGCTGCCACATTGAGACAAACTTTTCAAAACTCAAACAACACTAGTTTTCCAAAAATAAGGCAGTTAAATATAAAGACATGATTGAAAGACTTACACAACAAGAAAATATAATTCCTACATATGATTATTGTTTATTTTATTAAACAAATTTGGGGTTTTTTCGCATAAGTAATAACGTATGCGTAATTACGTATACGTAATTTATACATGTTATAATTATATTAATTTATTGAAGACTGAACCAAATTGTCTAGTGTTTTATAATGTAAGCCAATTTACCTTTCTAAACAAATTTAAAAGGTTTGATTTTACTTTTTATTTCATTTTCATATGCTGCAATTACGTATACGTAATGTAAAAGTATACTGCTCTTTAAAGTATGCTATAAAATTATGTACTTTGGCAATTGCCAAATACTTCGAGCAAATATTGTAAAGAATACTTTTTTGAGGCATAGCTATATTATTTAAAAGGCATAAAATTAGTAATAATATACATTTTGAATTTTTATAATTTTTTTGATAGATAAATTGGTTAAATTTTAAAATCTTTTTCGTCGTGTAAAACAGACTGCAATCATAATTCCATGTTCCTACACACACACAATCACACACACTAGTCCCATATCAATACGATTTTCAAATGCAACACACACTCACACATTCTTAGAGCAGGAAAATCTGAAGTAAGACCAAACAACATGAGCCAACCCAAAAAAAAAGTGCTGGAAGAATAACAAACAAGCAACAACAAGTGCAAAAATGCAAAAATAAGTGAAGAAAAAGTATAATTTCCATTTCAAATTGAATTTTCATTTGCACAGAAGCAGAATGAAGTTGAAAAAGAAGCAGCAGTCGCATATATGGAATGCTATAGTGCATATCACCCTGGACAGCCGTTCACGTAGTGACGAAGTGCACTAAGAGTGTGTAGAAGGGAACTACTAAATTCGAAACCAATGATATTCCGACCATCACAGCAGATTCTATAAAAATTATATATGTTAAACAATTTTCTTTTTCTGTCCGCTGTAGGTAGAAATACAGGTATATTTTCTGACAGCGTGCAGAATAATAAAATCTTTGAAACTCTATTTGTTTGGTAATTTTTCATCACTAAATTTGATACCAGAATTTTTATATGTCGAATGTGCGATCGTCACGACTTTCTTGCCACGTTAAGAGATGCTTTTATTTGATATATATATAAGCGGAGGAGGAGCTTACCAGGCACAGATAAGGAGCAGAGCTGGCTAAATATTGGGCAAAAGCGAAAATCAATGTCCTGACGCGGCCAGTTTAATGTTTTTGGGATTACAGCCTGCCGGCGGTCGAGCATTGAAGCCAGCAACCTACCGATTTTCCCATTTTCGCAAAGCCCAACCACCCACACACACACACAAACATATATGCTCCGACGTGCAGCAACTTAATTTAGCATTAACACACACACTCACAGAGACACACAGTCAGGAGCAGCGATGTTGTTGTTGTTATGGCCATTGCACAGGAGCTAACAAACTTTGGAATCCCACTCTCTCGATGGCCGAAGATCCATTCCCCTGCTAGCTACGTGCCACATTACGTAGCCGACTGGTGGGCCAGCCCCAAAACAAAGCAAAAAAAAAACAAAACAAAAATGGTCTACAGAAAAAGCCAAATAAAAGCAGGTAAGCTGCAGTAAAAGAAGCAACTATTTTTCCTTTGCGTTTATTTATAGTAAAGCGCTAAAGAGCTGTACTAAGCGGAAGTGGCACAGATAAGCTAATATATTAAGAAATCTCCTGTTAAATATAAAAGCCAAAAATAAATTCTATTGACAAATAACTGTAAGTATGCCATTATAATGGACTTTTACTATTCATTCCTTAAAGAAACTTAAGTAAACACCTTATTATTAAAATATACCAAAGAACAGCTTAAGTACTGTTATATATTTTTTATACAGTTAAAAACTATATTTACTCATTACTGATCGCTGCTTTTCGAGGGCCTTACACAGCCGTAACGCACTGTAGGGCATTCAACTCTTGGCTGGCAGTTTGTTGCCACTTTGGATTTTTGTTTATTTCCGACATGAACCGACAACGGCAGCTGTGACCCAGCCAAAAATCATTTCAGAAATTTCAATTTCGCATTGCAATTTGATTTTTGGGCAAAAACAGGGGTGGCGTTTTAGGGGGGTTCAAGGCGCTGTAAATTGCAAAATGAAGGATATTATTTAATGCATTTCGCTGAGAGCGAATTAATTTATTAAGCCTTGAGAGGATGCTCCTATCTCTTTCTGGCCGTCTGGCAGCACTCTTTTGATTTCCCACACGTGCCAGCGGGGGAAGGTGGGGCAAATAGGTCTCAAATCCCCGCGCCCCCCTTTCCAGGGGCTGCTGCAGGTTGCAAGTTGCAGGTGCAACTGTCCCAACGCTCACGGCTGATTTATCGTCCATGAAATTTATGTTTAGTTTAATCGAATGGGGCAAACAAAAATTGTGCAGAGAGCGGCCTGCTTATCGCTGGCCAGCCGAGTTCGCCCACTAGAACCCCCCTCCCCTCTCCACCTTACTACCCCCCTGACATCCACACCCCTGGAAAAGTTTACTTAAGCACAGGAGGTGCTGCAAAATTAAGCAGCAGCAGGAACCACTCAACTCCAAGTGGGATGGTGGGTGAATTTAAGGGGGTCCTAAAAACCCCCCCGCCCCCTTACCATCCCTCCCCCTCATTTTATTTCTTCAAGCCGCTCCTGCCACTGCAACTGCTTCTTCTTCTCCTCGAGCGTTTACTGCCTGCAACTCGCAGACGCAACTATTGCAAAATTTCAACGTGAATTTATTGTATGAACATTTCTTTTTCCCTCCTGCTTTTTGCATTTTTTTTTTCGTCTTCCTCATCTTCGTGATATTTTCGTTTTTCCTATATATATATATATATAACTATATATAGGTTTTTTTTGGGTGCCTTTGCCGACGTGCTGAATTTTCAAGCGGCCGCCGGCTATATACTTGTCTATATATTGTATGAAATGCAGAGCATCTATATAGTATATGTCTGTGGCGGGCCTTTAAGTCCGTTCATAGTTATAGCCGCCTCAAGAAGTAAATATTAAGCAGCTGCAACTTTTATGAGTGTCGGGGCGGAAGTCTGTAGGTCATAGCCGCGGGGTCAAGTTTTAAATCACCTTTGAACTGACAGAGCACGATATTTATTCGAAATGTTATTAAACAAACTGTGCAGGTAACTGTATGATACTAAACAATTACCTAGGAACTTATTCACTTGTATTTAATATACATATTTGTTCGTAAAATTACTATTTTATTCCCTTTGATTTTGGTGATAATGATCCCTTTATTTTTGCTATTTAAGTTGGCAACTTTGAAACGCTTCAATATTTAACTACCGATTGAACTTTTACTCCCTTTTTCATTTAATTTAAAATTTGATCAAATTTGAAATAAAATCTCTTTTTTTTGTGCCGCCGCGAAAACTTTTACGCATTTGCATCTATCGATTTGAGTTTCATTTGCTTGGTCGCAATGCAAATGAAGATGGCTCTGTCTCCCGAAAACCCTCTGATTTCCTGCGAAACTTGGCCTAAGTAGCCTCGATTAATGTGCAAACTTTTTGGTCACTTGCATCCGTTTCTGGTAATTCTGGGCTGCCTTTTCCCCCCTCTTTAGCTGCAATTTATTTATTTATTCTGTTGCTCATTATCTGTGCCAGGGGGTGGTCCCCCCTCGCTCCCCAATTAATGTTAAATTTACGATGACAGATCTGTGGCATTGATAAGACAGAAAGCGACGCTCCCAGGCCCAGAAACTAACCTCAAGTGGACAGGAAGCTTATCGGAGGACGTGACTGCAAGCCAGTGCACTGCAGAAAAAAAATATAAATCTAAATATAAATCACTGTAGAACTCAGAAAACAACAAAAGAAACAGCAAACAAAAATAAAAAAAAATTCTATTTTCAACACATGATAATCTGACTAAAGAAGATCAAATGCTGAAATGGACTTTTCTCCATTTATTTTAAATTTGCAAAAAATTAAAAGAGAGTATTTTTTGAATTAATATTAAACAACAAAATTAAAACCATAAATAGGTCAAATTATGATAAATTTCACTGAACTACAATTTAACTTTAAAAGTGATTAAGAATAAATAGTTAATATTATAATATGACATGAACAGACAGTTGAATTTAATGCACAATAACCTGTTTCTTTTAATGAAACTTTAAAGTATAAATTTAACTCTATGCCTAAGCTAATTCGCAAAAACTATTTATAACAATTTTTTGCAGTGCACAGATGTTGTTATTGCTGCTGCTCGTGTTGATGTTGTTCTACTTGTTGTTTGCCCAACTTGCAGTGTTGCAAGTTATGCAAGCTCGTGTCAGGTTGATGTGGAAAATTTGCATATCGCATATCGTTGACACGGTTGACACTGACCCCAAAAGGGGCGTGGCAGGTGGGCGGGGGTCGGGGGGTGCAAGGGCACTGGGAATGGGAGCAAATTATTCAATTTTTGACTAGATCAAAGCGGATGCGCTGACAGCGGGCAAATATTAACCAAATGCCTGGGTAAGACAGCACGAAACGCTGATGGACTGAAGGACGAAAGGACCCAGGGTAGACTCTGTGGACTGTATACTGTCGACTGTGGACTCACCTTGCATCCGGGCCAAAAGCAGGAGCAGTGTGCAGCAGAGGACCTGCAGCAGCTCCATATTTCATCAGCTCTGAGTTATGCCAGTTGCGCCAGCGACAAGGCGACTCCGGCGAAACTTGGCCCGTAACTTACTGCCACTGTCAGTGGCACTTCTCCGCCGCCTGCTCGCCTGCTTAACGTCCGTTTTTCCGCGCTTTTCCGCTTTTCCGCTTGTCCGCCTTCCCTCACTCCCGACTCCCAACTCCGAACTCCGAGCTCCTCTCCTCCGATCGACGAACAATATGCAACTTAAAAGGCAAACGGCATTCTGCGTAATTGCACGGCCAAGTACTGCAAAGAAACCAGAAGAGCGGTGGCAAATGAGTGAGCGGTGCCTAGATTGCGGGGAGGAACTTAAATTAATTAGAACAACATGGCCACAACGAGTTTCGAGTGGGGTGCAAACATCTGGAATACCCTAACAAACAATGAGCAGCTAGAAATAATATTTAGATTGTGGGGAAAAATATAAATGAGTTTCCGGAGTTTATTGTTCCCATTTATTTACGCCTCAGACTAATGATTTTATAATTTATTCTTAATGGATTTAATCAACTGACTTATAGTAGGTAATTTCTACATTTCTTTAAAGAAAATGTTTAGCCCTTTTTAGGCGATTTATATATCAGATGAGAGTTCATACACTAAACACATTTAAGCGATTAGAAAATATAAGGACATTGCATACTTTTCTTATAAATGAGCTTGAAATTTACCGTCTTTGATATTATTTATTTCATGTAAATCTGGATCACCAGAAACATATTGAATTTTTTTAATTAACAGTATAAATAGTATTAATGATTTGATTTAGTTAAAAGTTCGATTTTCACCGATCTTTTACAAGTAATTGGATAACGAAATGTGTATAGCCTATAAAACCTATCCACCCATTTTGTAATACAGGGTATGCGGCAGCACTTGTATTGGCCATAAACGGTGCAGAATGTTGAGGGGGTGGAGGGGGGTGTCTTTCGCCCTTTGGGAGCATTACGTCAGAGATGGAATGCACTCGCTGCAAATGTTATTAACAAACACAATGCCATAAATACCAGCACACACACACGTGAGCGGGGGTGTGCGAGAGTGGGAGTGGCAGTGGGGGGTGGGGGTGGGGGGTGTTGGTGTGCCAGCAAGGACACGGCTGAGTGACCTTTGCTGGTCGTCAAGTAATCGCATTCGCAACGGTAGTCCCGACAACTTCGCATTTTTATGGCAACAAACGTCAGCCATAAACATTTTTATAACGCTGCAAGGCGGCGACGGACGGAAAAGTGGGCGGGGCAGCCAAGAAAACGCATAAGCCACAAGCAAAATGAATTGTGTTTTCACTTTTTGTAATTAGCCTGCACTAAAGTGCTCGAGTGCGAAGGCAAGCAAATGCCAATGGCCGGAATATTCCGGCTCCGGAGTTCCTCTACGTCCGGATCTAAATCATGATAAATACACTTGCAGGGTGGTGGAAGGTACAGAAGGCACTGAAGGCACAGAAAGTGCGGAACGTAGTCAGTGGCCCTAGAAACTTGGTCATGGCAAACTTTACAGCAGCAGCTAATCGAAGTGGGAAATGCTGAGGACTTCCATCGATCAACGATTAAGAATTCACGCAAAAGAAACTAGGATTTCCCAAGAGGTTGCGGAGTAACAAAAGAATTGTTGATTTCAATTAGTATTATATTTTACGGTTAAATCTTTGTAAAACAAGCAGAAATCATTTTAATTCAGAGGGAAAGGCCTTTAAAATATATCTTCAGCGAGATTACAAATTCGAAACTAACAAGAAAACAAAAACAAAGATTTAATAATAACATAATTAAACTTAATGTTTTGTTTCAAATATAAATCTTCTTGACCTCGCTTGCAATTTTACATTATTAATTGCACATCTCAACCAAAAAACAAAATGAAGAAGCTATTTTTAAATATAACTAATTGCATAAATAATACAAAATAATAAAAATGTTGATTGTTGATCTGATTAAATTTTAAGCGACTTTTCGAAAAACAACTGCTTTGCCATTTTGATCGTCTCGAAATAAAGATAATTTTTCCTACTTTCCTAAACATCGCCTTTCACCCAAATAAATGTTTAATGTCGGTTAGTTTTGGTAAAATGTGCTTAATTTGTTCTCTTTCCCGAAAGTGTAAAAAGCAGACACTTTAATTAAGCCAAGTCTGGGGTCAAAAACAGAAACAAATTTTAGGAAACCTCAATTTGGTTGGCTTGAAGTTTCTCCTCGAACCGAAGTGAACTTGAAACTATTTCGGGCCCCGGAATTATTTACTCGAAAAGTCCTGGCCGGAAAAACAAGGCAACAAGTTCTGGCTCTTTGGCGAATTGAGCAATTTAGCCCGGTCCGAATGTCCGCTTTAAGTTATTTGTATTCAAAAAATTCTTTTCGTGCTGGCCACGTCCCACCGAGCCGTTGCGACAATTTGTAAACTAGGCCTGAATAAAACATGAAAATGGAAAACACAACGGCAGCGGGACATGTGACCGCTCTGGCTCTTTCCCGGACAAAAGTGCACGGTTACATAAACAGGATAATAAGGCACTTAACATGCACTCGTCGCTGTTGGCCAACACACACACACTCCCACACACACACAAAGAGACAGCAGAATGAGCTGGAAAAACCTCGAGCAGCAAATGGCGAATGCTGAATGCCAGGAATGCCGGAATGGCTTCGTTGTAGGCGTAACAATAAGGCGACCAGCCAGTCCAACAACTCCAAACAGGACCTCCACTTATGTCAGACCAAATCAAGCGTTGGACCCCCCTTTTCCCCGCCTTTAACCCACCCATCCCACCACCCACCGCCCCTGTTTTAGACATTCTGCCTTAATTTACGTTTTATGTCATGTCACGGTCGTAATTGAAAATTTCCCCAGCTCTCACATGTTTGCATAGCGCCCCGAGTTAATCCTCGATCGAAGCTAATTAAGACATCGCCAAAACAAGGAATTTAACCAAAACAATCAAGGCCCATGTTTGCTTAAAATTTAAGGTTCTTGCAAATTTTCAGGAAATAAAATACCTCTTCAAATTTTTTAAGAACCATTATTGAATAAAACAATTAAGTCAACTTAAAAGAAAAAATGTATAAAATCATTTTATTTAAAAAATACCCAAATGGGATTTATGGCAAGTGTACTAGTCATAGTCATAAATTATGGAAACCTAATAACATTCTAAATGTGTAATTTTAATCACTTTCAATATGAGAGCATTAAATACAGGAATATTGAGTAAGCACAAATAGTTACACTATTAAACGAACCATAATTAAAATACCCAAAATAGAATGGTAAAACCTATTTAATGAAAATGGAACAAGAGTAAGCTTACAAATGAAAAAAATATGAAATCTATCTAGCCATTGCTATTTTAAGGGAATTTAAATATGTAAAATAATTCTAAATGTATTGCCAATAAAAACAAATAAAATATTTGTAATAACACACGTTTTGTCCATGCACATTTTAAACGAAAAAAACTAACTATTTTTTGATAGCCACTTTTTGCAAACAAAAGGCAAATTAAAAATAAAGATCTTTATTGAAGCACTTTCTGTTTAAATTATTTTCTCGAATTTCCATTTTTCACAAACAAACTCGGCATTGCATTTGATCTGTTAGTTTGATAAGTGAAATTCATTTGCCAACTTTTGTGAGCACTATCCACAGCAAAACTGAGGCAATTATCGTAGGCCAGTATTTAAACTACACTTCTCAATTAACTTAAACAAAAAAAACTTGAGCACGAAGAAGAACAACAATGGCAGCAGATTATGCAATTTGAATGCAGCCTTATCTGGCATTTCAGGCATTTGTCGCACAGTTTACACATTGGGCACACATTTTATTTGAATTTTAATAAGTCGCTTTTATGCCAAGAGAAACGAATATAAAATCCCAGAGTTTAAAAGCACAATCGTGCTGCATTTATTCCATAAATAATTGAGATGTTTTCTAGAGATGGCGACTTACTATAAATGCGTCGCTTTAATTGGGCTTTAAAGCACGTCATCAAGAGATGTCTTAATTGGGGGATTTTTACGTTGGTCTTTAAGTTTGCCGAGCGACGAGCATATGCACGTTTTAATCGATATATTTTTGTAGTAATAAAATCAAGGGGATTGTGACCTTTTCGTTGGCCTCAAATTATCGGGCAAACAAACATGACGACGAAAGCCCCAAATTATTGAAAACCTTTATATTCGGACTACTGACAATTGGGCTTAACTTGTAAATGAAACTTAATCCCCAGGGATTTTTGCATGCGTCCGATTAGCCGCAGTCCTGGTCGCAGGACTTCGTTCGCAGTCCGGAATGGGGACACAAATCATTCGCAGGCCATTGGATCCTTAATTTGCTTTAAATAAATTTTATTGGCATTGCCATGCAGCTGAGCAGCTGCAGGACCTCGAAACCCTTTTTCCCCGCAACTAAATGACATTTATTGTCAGCTTGGCAAAAGGCTCGGAAAAGCGGGGAAAAAGCGGGGAAAAAGCGGGAAAGCGGGGGAAAATGGTAGGCGATACGTTAACCGAAAATGTCTTTTCATATTTTTCATGCACAATTTCAGCCTTGTATGCGTTGCATTTTCATCTGCCATATATATATATATATATTTTACTTTTGCGTATTTATTTATTGACCAGGTCCAGAGCCATTCCATTCCAGTTTCATTTGCGGCCCGCGAAGAAGAATATTGCAATGGCTGACAAATTTATTTCGTTTGCCGACGGCGGTTTTTCTTTCCCCTTTCCCCCCCTCGGTTTTTTCTGATTCCCCCCACCCCCCTTTGGCATACCCATGAAAATCCCCTCCCCTGCTCCCCCAGCTTTTGTTCTTTTCATTTTCACAATGTGTCGAGCCCTGCCATGCATATTAAAATGTTAAAAAAAAAAAAAAAAACACACAGTGAAACCACCTCTCGCTGGCCATTTACTGTTGCATATTCATTATTGAAAAGTTTTTCTGCCTCCGCCGCCTACAACTCATAATATAAATGATAAGCAAATGTTTTTAAATCTACTCTATATGTATTTATATGTACACATGTACGGCGATTTCCTTGAGGGATCAAATAAGTGCTTTATTTTATTTTATTTCATTTTAATTCGTTTTATTTATTTGTTCGCCCGCACCGCACGAAATTATTATAGTTTCGAATCAATTTATTTGCCAATTAGTCAACCAGAAGACCATTGTTCACAATAACGGCCTAAAGAGATCATTTAGTTGCAAAGTGAAATACCAAATAAATTTTGGAAGTATATTGTTTGCTGTGTGCTAAACTTGTCTATCTATTTATTACGATATTTATTTGAGAGAGGCGATTAAAAATCATTTATCAAATATTTTATCCATTCTCTTCTATTAAAAAAAGAAATACTCACTATATAACTATTTTATTTAATTATTCCGTTTCTTTAAAGCATTTAATATTTCATACAAATTTGTTTTAATATATATTACTTAAAATTTGCTAGTATCCTTTTTTCTTATCACTTAAAGGTGGTTAAAATACCATTTACAAATAATAAAATACTTTCTTTATATGCTTTAGGTGTCGAGCACAAGACAATGAATTTAAGCTTTGAAGGATTTTATAAACCATTTCGTTTGCTGTATCAACAACAAAAATTCTTACTCCTTTCAATTTGATTTAACTTTTGTGGAGCCCTTAGCATCGTTTTCCATATCTTTTAAGTAATTGTTTTTAAATTTTTCACAAACATTTCACAACAAAATCTGCAACTAAACTTTTGAAACTAAATCCTTTACTCCTTGGTTTTTTGCAGATTTTCTCAACTAATTACATTTTCCGACAGCGCAGCCTTAGAACTTCTCTTTCCGGCCAAGTTGATCAAACTAGTTTGTTTGGCTTCGCCAAATTATTTTGGGTCCTTTACGGGATTTACCACTTGGCCACAGATCGGCCAGATGATGCACAATAAAATGCGCTGTAATCTGGGCACGTTAAGTGCTCGGCCGCAAAAATCGGTTGTAAAACTAAGACGGGGACATGGGGATAATAATAATATGGAAAACGAAATACCGCACATGGCGTGCCACTGTGCGTTACGACTTTCGGCGTAACAGTTGCGTGGAGCATTACGGGGAAATTCCTGGCAATACGTAAACCTAAACGACTGCTAATTGAAATATTAACACCTAAACGGACGATGACGAGGACGACGACGATGTCACCGCAAAACTGGCGGCAATCGGCGTGTGTGAGTGTGTGCAATTAAACGAAATGCGCATAACAATTGGCCAACCACGATATGCGACCTCAAAAACATAAACAACCGCAAATGTTGCGTCATGAACACGCAAATGGACGAAAAAAAAAAAAAGGGAAACCAAAATAGGGGGACAAAGTGCCGAAGGGAAAGTTCCCCACATAGAAGTACATTTGTAATATCCCCCATATCACGGCACCGAAACACTCCAGTTGGGCAAATAAATGTTATCCCTTCTGTGGCTGCAGAATTTAATTTGATAAATTGGTATTTCAGTTTGAAATTTCATTGAACTATTCTGGGAACATATTCCATTTCTAAACATTGTTTTTTTAGAGCATTCCTATGAAGAATGATAAAATGTAGTTCTTAGTTGGATCAAACTTACTTAATTATTACTCTCAGCATTTTTTTTTAGCATATCTTTAAAATTGTTTTTTTTTGATTCAAAGCAATAAGAAGTTTTATGAATTTTTTATTTGAAAGAATTTGAGGGAATTCCAGTAATTAATTTAATGTTTGACAATTTTATAAAGTAATAAACACAATTCAAATTTGTGTTGGATCTTGAAAATCAATCCCTCTGTGTGTGTATTTAATAATCTAGTATCCAATATATATTAGTTACGAATGCACATCCAAATGTGTTGATTAAATTGTAATAAATGTATTTAATATTCGTGTAGTTTAGATTCCTTTCTATAACTATATTTATGCAAAATTCTTTTAAACATTTTTAGACAGAAATGAGAATTTTGTGCTTTTAGGTCTGTCCAAATACATAAATCACCCACAAAAATTAAATCTTTTAAAAACGGACAACTCACTCCCATTAGCTTTTGGAAAACGCAAATAAACTAAGTCAAATAACGCTCAAAAATAGCATCCTAATGCAGTATTTTCCAGGAGCTCAGCCAGGACAAAGGACTCTAAGCCTGCGTCAATTCAGTGCTCCTGCTGAATGCAGCTTGATTGGCGACTGCGACGACAGACAAAAGCTCGACGACGGAAGGAAGAAAAAGCCGTTCGTTCTACATGTGCGCAACAAATTTTTATGAAAATTCTTTTTATTAATTTCGTTTTGATTTCGTTTGGCTATTTTCGGAGTACGAACGGCATGGAAAACATGGAAAAAATAGCAAATAAATTGCCAGCTTGATTTTATTGTCGGCAGACTGATGATGTTGATGGCGACGCCGTTCAGGGAAATTGTTGGCAAATATTTGTGCAATTTTTTTTGTTTTGTTTTCCGCTTTCCCCGAAATTGTGTGTGTGTGTGGGGAAGACCGTTGTTTGCTCAAAAATTGGCCATTTGATTGATGAAAATTTGATGGAATATATTTGCCATAAATATTCGCATAAGGAGCGGTATGTTTTCCATTGATTACAATCGCTTCGCGCGAACTAATCCGCGTCAATTAAACCATTATTAAAGCCATCAACGACGTAAACGGCACTGCCGCTTATCAAAATCACACGTCTGTCGTAATTAAAGCACTTCATTAAAGTTATTAATTATTAAATTAGCCTTCAAGTGCTCGGCTCTTATCAAGATGTATTTGTTTGACTTAAACTAATCGAAATGGAATATCAATTGAACACGACTCTAAGTAGTGTCAATTACTAAATAAATTGTTCTGATTTCGTAAAAAGCGTGACTTTATTTGTATACAAATGAGTCTTAATTACTTTAAAATTTTTTTGATTATCGCTGCACAGAAACTATGTTTGTTTCTCCATATTATTCTCTTAAGACTTTTAGTAATAATATTTTTCAAAAAATCCATATTCTCAAATGAGAAAAGTTTTACTTTCCAAGATAATATTCTAAAATATTTAAGGTGCTCAAGATTAGTTTTCGATTAGTTTACTAAGTATAGTTTCAATAAAATTCTACTTGAATTAAAACTTTAAAAAGCAGTTTACAATCTCTGTGATATTTAACCAATTCAAGAAAATGTTCGACAAAATTTAAATTCTTATACCCATAACCCTCGGAAATTCTCAACAATGATTTTAAAAACAGACTTTAAGTCACTATAGTTTAGTTTTCGAAACGACAGCCAACTTTACTTTGTCCACACTTTGTATGCAAAATACGTGCAAAATATTTGAAAGCACAAAATGAATATCTAATGCCAAACTCTTCAAAAATTCACTACACTTGAAACTGACACTCTGGACAGCGGAAATCTTTGGGGATTCCCCTGATAGCTGGAGTCGAGAAAGTGCGGGGCTTGTTGGGTGACTCTGACTTCCGTTTCCGGCACTCGAAGTTTTCATTTAAAATGCAATCGAGAAACGATTAGTCAACAAGCGATTGGCTTTGTCTTCGATTTCCTGGCATTGGCAAATCGCTAAACCGAGTTTCGAGGACCAAAAGTGGGCGGGAAGGTTGGCTAATGAAAATTACCAGGCAATGCCAACAAAATAAAAGGCATGTGAGTTTGTTTTGCCTTTCTGATTATAATGAGCACAAATTACGTTGATTCGGTTTTTGGATTCGCTTTGATTCGGTTGCGGTTGCAATTTGTTTTTGACAGAATTCCCCTCCCGAACTGACTGTGTTTTTGGGTTTTTGTGTTGTGTGTGTTGTGTGTGTTTTGTGGGGACCTCTCATTAGTTGCTCGAGGAATTTCATTGGCTTTACCTTTTAATTTGATTAATTCGGCCGCCCGACTTGCTCGTCTACTTTTCTTTTTTTTTTTGTCGGATTAATAGCGGCACGCAACAAAAACAACAAAAATCGTTAATAAATCGGTTAAATCGGTTTTGTTTTTTATTTTTTTATTGCTAGTATTTCTGGAGGGGCCACTTGAGACGGTCTCTGAATGGGATTCAATTCGCTTCGATTGGACTTGCTCAAGTGCACTTTGCAATATTTTTCCCGCTACGCGAATTGGCAACGAGTCCTGGCTGAATTTGTTGAAGAAAATCGGGGAACAGGACCAAGGACGACTGACTACCGCACGTGTTGACGCTTCAAACAAAACTGTTGCGCGGCTGAAGAAGACGATGGCACAACAAACTCGAGTCTCCTGCCAGGACTCCCGGCCCTCGGCTCCGATGGCCAAAAAGCAGCCGAAAGGACCTTCGGCTGGTAATCGGGTCCTTCAGGACTGCCGTTGGCTGTGGAACAGTCCGATGGCCCTTGGCCTCGCATCCTGTTTACAAAACTGGCCATCGGCGCCTGCGCCCCTTCGTCGAATCCTTAGCCGAAGGCTGCCCGAATTCCCGAAAGGACACCAGCCGAACGAAAACGAACGAATGCCGAACCGAAATCGCCGACTCTTTATTCACCTCGTGGTGAATTCCATTTAGCCGGCTTCGCAGAGAGTTTGTTTACGTTTTGTGTTTACCTTCCAGGACTGACTGGAAACACGTGGCTGCATTGGAACAAAACAAGAACAAGAGCAAAAAAGGACGAAGGATGGGGTTACTCTACGAGTTCGTTGAATCCCAGCGTAGTTAGTCGGAAATGGAATGTTGGCAAGTGCCATTGAAGAGTTGATTTTATTGACTGCCAGCCGAATGGGACTTTCAAAACAAAAGATCGAGTTCTAAGGATTTACAGGATTGCCTTGCAATTAAATTCCTTTAGATTTGAGAAAAAATAAAATAAAATTAAATAAAGTTGGCAAAATATATTTAAGTTCATGTTATCTGAATTAAATGTCATAATTAAGCTTATAAGTAAACCTTGTACTTCAGTTTAAAAATATATTTAATTTTGAAATTAATGGCAATTACAGAATTTTGTAAGCACCAGCTAATATTAGTAATGGCTTGGGAAATAAATAAAAATGTTCTATATATAGTAATTTATTTCAGGTGCTCATGTTAAATCATTTTGTTAATAAGTTATGTTTTATAAATCCCGTTTTTAGCCTAATTTGAATTTAACATAATTTCACTAATTTATATATATTTTTATTTATTTGGATTGTTACAAAAAAGCTCTGGTAACAACATTATATATATAAAGAAAATCAGAGCTGCATTAAACTCAAAACCGAGAAGTTTAAGACATTGGGGCAATAATTTGTTCAGCTCTTTCCGTATCCTGCAAATGCAGAAGTATCTGGCACCTGCAACCTGAGTCCAAAGTCCAGAGTCCAGAATTTAAAATCCTGAGTCTCGACTTCCGTCCTGCCTGCATTTCGTGCGCATTTTTCCATCTGATTTGACATTTGTGCTAGGTAAACACAAGAATGCCAGCAACTTTTAATAAGACCAAGGAAGTGAACGGCGTGGGGAAGTGTCGAGTGCCGAGATTCTGGCCAGTCTTGGCCAGAACCGCTTTCAAGTTTCCGCACACTCTGTGTGTGTGTGTGTGTGTGTTAGTGTGTACGATTTTGTGCCTCTGTTGGCTCTTTTGAGCAATTTAGTTTGCTGCCATTTGCCACAAATGAAATTCGCTTTTTTGGGCCGCCACGGCGTATGCGTCATGTGTTTGCACTGCACTTGTTCCTGTCGGAGGATGAGTTCTGAAGAACTCCCCATTCCATCCCATCCCATCCAATACCATACCATACCATCCCCACCGACTGACTACAAAGTGGTCCAAACCGAACTGGACGAACTGCTCTAACTAGCTGGCCGTCGAATGTTTGTTTGTTTGCTCAATTTTAATTAAATTTTTAGCATTGCTCGTGTTTTGTTTGGCACGAAAATTTAAGCAAATTAATTGACGCCCAATGAGAGAGAAATCAAGTGAAATGTTTGCCAGTTGGTAAGTAATTTTAATTAATTTCCCCCACTTCTCCTCCCCCGGCAAAGCTAAAATTGCAATTGCAATCAATGCGAAATCAAGTCAAAAGCCCAATCAAGTTGTTCAATAGTGGGGCAGTGGGTGAGTGGTTGGGTGGTGCGACTTGCAGGTGTCAAGCCCTTGAAAAGATGGGGAATAGAATGGGTAATACCCTGGCAGCCAAATTAGATAAATAATTAAAAAAGAGTTTTAATAACACCAAACTATTACAGAACAAGAAACATTTTTCATATGAAATAAAGAAAGAATACACAAATTTTCCAAGCAAAATTTATTTAATTTATTTAGTGATAACTTTAATTATACATGAAATTTTTAGGAAATTACAAAAACAAGTCTAAAGAGTAAAATAATTATGACATTTAAATCTACTTTTTCTTAGGCCGAATCGTATGAGAATATAAAGTAAAAAACCTTTAAATATATATTATAATTTCCTTAAGTTAAAATACATAATATATTTGATTGAGTCAAAATATGGTATTTACTATTCCAGCATACCCTGCTACCCATGAAAGAAGCGCACACGTGAGACAGGAAACGGCCTTCAGCCCCACATGTCCAAAAGTTCTTTATTACCTTCGTAGCTGGATTATTAAAATTTCATCGAATTACGTGCGAATAATACCAAATTGCTATAGCACTCTATACGTCGCCGTGGCTTTAGCTTACAGTTTTCTATCTTTTCCTCTTCGCTGCCAGTGTCAGTGTACAATTAAGTTTAGCAGGCGAAAAGGGAAAATTAAGACAACAGCAAAAGGCAGCGGTAAACAAAAGTTATCAATTTTTTATTACATTCGGATTACATTAGCTGGCTCAAGGTTGCATTTTCGACCAGAGAATAACGAAAATAATAAGACTGGCCACATATCTGGACAGAGAATATAGAAAGCTATGGCATTTCTACAGCTTCAATGGTGATGATGATGAGTGGGCTGCCCCACAATAAAGCAAAACTTTTTTGATTACTTTATGCTAACGGCAGCTGCGTCGCGTCCACATTTAGTTTTTGGCTTTGGCCGCAAAGTAATTGCAGGACCAACACTGAAAAAAATCAGGGGCGTCGCGAGGAGAGGGGCTGGGAAATGACCACCGACAGATGTCTGTACATGGTCTGCCATGCGGCGACTTTCGGAGCACCCAGCCACATATTGAGAGAGTTATGAAACTGGGCAGCAAAAAAATGCATTTCATTTTGCACCCCAAATGGACTGCATTAACACCCTGTAGCTAGCGAAATTCCTTAGATTTTTATTTTATATTTTCAAAAAGTTAAAATTAAACTACAATGAAATCATAAAACGAAACAATTTTAAATAATGCTAAATCAAAACGTATATAAACAAATTCTGCCACAATTTGTAAAACGAATAAATTGTTTAATTTAGGAAAAAATATCAAACCCACAGTTAATCCCAATATAATGTAAAAAACTAATTATATTTCCACCAAAACCGCATAAAACCTGTACAGAAAAATAAAAAAAAAAATGTTTAGCCGCACATACCCCACGTACGAGCAGGGTATTCAACAAGCTGAACTGAATGTGCTGCAAATGTAATTAAGCGAAAGACGCTTGAAATGCGCGAGCTTGACCGCTCATAAAACTTTGACAATGCTGACCTGCCACGCCTCCTTCCTGGAAGCCCCGCCTCCACCGCCTTTCCGCTTTATTGAATGACCGTTTTATTAGCCGGGAATCATTTAAATCCTGGCAGAGCAGAGCTGAACAAATAAAAATGCAAGGGACTGGCCTGAAAGTGCATGCATTACTCATACGACATGTTGTCGTTAGTCACAAATTAAATTTACAAAAGCGGCAGCTGGAGCGACAGGTTGAGATTGGGACTGAGTAGATTGGATTGAGGGCTTGGGACTCGGAGCTGATGGCCCAGAAAATGGAACTGAACTTGCCACAGTTGATTGGTTAGCACTAAGCGGGAAATTTGCCGGCCATAAATGTCGGTTGGGCAGCCTTATACCACAATCCTTTTGCCCCTGTTTTGCCTGCCCCACAAAAATTTACATGCGCTCAAATTTTTAGCTGCCGCCTTTTTTCTGTTCTTTTCCCTGCCGCTGGTCATTGCCTGTATGTATATGTATATGCATATATACATATATATTTAAAGCCCCAAATGTATGTATGTATGATGTTAACTTGGCTGGCCAAAAATATTCGTAGCCGGCTAAAGTTTCTGCAGCTTCCCCGGCTGCTTCGGTGCCCTCCTCTTTCCGACCCTCTACTTGCATATGTGCCGGTTAAGTGGTTTTTGTGGCTGAAAAGCAGAAAACTCATTAAAGTTTATTTCAAACACCAACAACAACAGCAGCAGTATGGCAGCAGTGGCTCGGGTGGAAAGTAAGGGGGTTTTTAGCAAACTTCGGTCAAAAATTAAGACATATGCTCAGGCTGAAACCGAAACTGAAACAGAACAGCAACGAACTTTACAGTCTTTGTCTATATCTATACAGTTATGCATGTCTCCGACTTGACACTTTGACCCCCACCCACCCCATCTATATATATATATACATACATATATACACATATTGACATGCACTTCGATGGGTGGTGCAGAATGGAGAATGTAAAAAGGGGTTCAGGGGTTAGGGCCACTTTTGCTGCGGCTTTCTGGCCCCAAAACTTTGCCAAGTGCAGCGAGTTTGACGGCATGTGGGCCGGTATATCACATGGGGCGGAAGGTTGGTTAGCCCCCGGAAAGAACAACAAAACTCCCATTGAGTCACCCACGAGGGTCAATTTACTCAATTCCGAATTTTCCACTGCCTGCCCAAGGGCTCTCCAAAAAAAAAAGGCTCTCGGTTGCGAATTTTCAAATGGAGAGCAACTACGATCGCTGATAATAAACAAAACTAAGCACTTAATAAATCTACTTTATTTTATATGCCTCTAATGACTAAGCCTAAGTTGAGTTCAATAAATTCAAAAGCTCAACTTAAAATAATCAAAAACAATGGTTTAACACCATAATTCACCAAAACAAAAAAATTATTTACCTTTAAAA